TTTGATTCCTGCCTTCAATGGTACCCTGTCCCCCCTTCCTAGCCACTGACGGCATTCCCGGGGAGCTATGGTTGAGACACAGTTCTTTTGCACACTAAGGATTATTGAATAATAGTCTTTATTTTTTTAATATTTATTTTTTAGTTTTAGGTGGACACAATATCTTTATTTTATTTTTATGTGGTCTGAGAATCGAACCCAATGCCTCACACATGCTAGGCAAGCGTGCTACCACTTGAGCCACATCCCCAGCCCCAAATAATAGTCTTTAGCTGTGGCCAGCCTAGCAAGTCCTTTTCCATACAGATAGTCAGCAGGTTGGCTGGGGTATAGTGTCAAAAGCATGGGATGCTGGGCACTTCACTGTAGTAGAAATTAAAGAAGAGATAAAAAGAAATAGAAACAGTATACATACAAAAATAAAAGCAGTTCATTAGCTTTCCTTGGAAATCTTCTATGCAATATTGCTAGTAACCTATGAAGTAGGTGTAGAAGTTTCTGCCACAATCCCTAATAGGGTTTGTGCTGCTTGTAGCTTGAAGATATAACAGCAGCATCTCATGTACAGCCTCCCTCTGGATCAGTCTGCCTTTCTTGGGGGGGGTGGGTGGTACTGGAGATTGAATTCAGGGGCACTCAATCACTGAGCCACATGTCAGCACTTTATTGTATTTTATTTAGAAACAGGATTTCACTAAGTTGCTTAGGGCCATTGCTGAGGCTAGCTTTGAACTCAAGATCCTCCTGCCTCAGCCTCCCAGTCCCACTGGGAATATAGGCGTGCGCCCGGCTTCAGTCTGCTTTTAATTCTTCTAGGTTGGACTCTTGCTCACAACTCTATTGGGGGAGAAAATAAGGGTTTAACAAAAAAGTTGAAAATCACATGAACGATGCAGAGATCCCAAAGACCTGGAATTGAATAGGTTCTGTCTGTCAACCCACTCTCCTGAGGAATATCCCACATGGTGATCTGTCATTGAAACACCATGTTTTAGAGATAAATTACCACAGTTAATCCAACTGTTGCATGTTGACCATTGGACAAAACAATATTCATGTGATCTGCAGAAAAAATGCAAGCCATTTTCATGGCCTCCAAGCCCTCTAGAAGTCACCTCATTGTGGGTATCTTTCACACAGCTCTCCAAAGTGACCACACTGGTGACTTCGGTCAGATTCCCAAAATTCAGACATTGGGACAAGGGTCCCTGTGCAACTGACTTAAGGAAGTCCTGGAGAAACCCTGCTGTGTTGGGATGTAAATTATAACTCAAAGTGTGTTGAGACCCAAGCAAGGCAGCTGGGCGTTCAGATCATGGACACTGGGCTGCACGGGCCGGATGTCAATTCCCGGCACGGCTAGCTCCAAGCTAATGAGGGCAAGAAGCTCCAGAAGTCCTTGAAAGAGAATCCAGGGTGCAGGTTCTTAAGGATAATGGCACAAGGAAGGCCAGGGGTACCATGATATGGTGAAAGAAATCTAAAGAATCTAGGTGACTTGTAGACAGCATTGTCCCCACAAGTGACTCAGTCCTGGGTCCTCCCCACCCATGTGTCCTCTCTAGGTGCACTGACATTCTCTGTTCTTTACACTTCTGTGCTGACGGTGGAGACCAATGATCCAAAGGGCTCATGTGAACTGTGGATTTTTCTTTTTTTAATGTTTTAAATTATTTTAGCACTCTCCAGTTCTCTCCTGGCTCTATCCCTCCATGTTTTATTCACCTACATGCTTTCTGCCTCATTGTTTTAGTCAGCGTTTTCACTGCTATGACTTAAAGCTCCGATCAGAACAACTGAAGGGAAGAAAAGTTTATTTGGGGGCTCACAGTTCCAGAAGTCTTGGTCCATAGGCAGCCAGCTCCATTTCTTTGGGCTTGAGGTGAGTACATCATGGTGGAAGAGTGTGGCTGAAGGAAGCAGCTCACATGATGATCAGGAAGCAGAGAGAGAAAGAGAGACAGACTCCACATACAAAATATGTACCCCAAAGGCACACCCCGAATGCCCAGCTCTTGCAGCCATACCCTATCCATCTTCAGCTACCACTCAGTTAATCCCATCAGGACTAATTCACGGATTGTGTTAAGGCTCTCGTAACCCAATCATTTCTTCTCTAAACCTTCTGGCATTGTCTCGTACATGAGCTTTTGTCTGAGACTGCACATCCAAACCATAACACTCACCTTTCAGTAATTTCACCAGAATATGATTGTTTACAGAATTTTAATCAGGTAACCATTGGCCTGGATGACTCCAGTGCTTTACATTCCCAAGTAAACAACAGAAGAAAACCAGAAACTTTACCAATCAGAAGCCGCCAACTAACCCGTACCTAAGAATTTTCCACTTTATCTAATGAAATATGGTTTTTGTGCTCTTTGTGGGAAAGTCCTATAGAAGTGTCTCTCTTGCCCTGTCTTCCTCCCTTCGCCTGGGACGTTGAGTGCTTGTGATCTGGTGCTCCCTGAGTGATGTAGTTCTGTCTGTTCCAACAAACTCGAAATTTCAATGTCCCTAAGTTTATCGTGTAAGAGTTCCAGAGTTGGCAGTGCTGGATCAGAACTTCCTAGTTCTGGTCTTTCTCAATCTTCAGATTTAATCTTTCTTGCTTCTATTTTTGGATAAGCTGAAATGGCTTCTTCAATAGCCATAATGCTCATCACTTTTCTCCCCTTCGTTTGCTATTAAAAGGAGCCAGTGCTCACATCGGTCCTTTGTTGTGGCCGACTTCTTAGTTTTCCTTTTGATTTACTTGGTTCTGGGCAGTGAGGAGGAAAGACTTCCTCAGGATAGCTCACACTGCTTGCCTTTGTCAAGTTCTTCCACATTTCAAATCATCATCGGATGCAGGTTGCTGTTGTGATTCAATAAAATTCTAACACAAAGCCCATGTCAGGATCATACACTCTTCCCATACTTTGTAGACATAGTTCTAGGACTGCACCTTTGGATATTTCAGGGGAACATTCTGTTTCCAGCCTGATATTTTCTTCCATATGAAGTTCTTTCTCTGACAGATGCTTGAGTAGTTCTTTAAAATTATGAATTTCAAAAATTTAAGCAGAATATATGCCGATGTCAAGTACGTAGAATCAAAAGTTTCCAAGAATCTTGTCTCTTATTTTTCAAATTTGATTTCTTTTTCCTTTCTGGAAAATATATCTTTATCTATATCTATCTTGTATATATTTTCTATTATACTGTTCATATTCTTCTCTTCAGAAGCATGATGTGGCTTTTCTTTCCTTTCTGTATTGATTAGCTTTTCTTTTAATGTTGGAATGGCATTATCTTTTCATTAGTCTTTATATGAATATCAAGTTTTTCTCCACATAACTAATTATGGTATATCTAAATAGTTCTTCTTGCTTATGACTAAGTATAAGCTCTGTTTATGTTAAATTGATTACTTTTAATTAATCTTAATTAATTTTAATTAATCTTAATTAAGTTCTGAAATCTTTCTTTTCACAAACCAGATTATTTTATCATCTTATTTTTTAGTATTTATTACTAAGTCATTTTACATCCTCTATACTGCCAAGTTCCTGAAAAGAACTTCTATCTATTCATTTTATATTTCTTCTTCCATTTCTTGTCTTTTGGTCATGCAATTTTTGTAGGTCATATCTTTTCTTCTAACACATCTCAGAGTCTATTTTCATTTGTTTTGTCTTTCCATTCATGAATAAATGGCTCTGTCTCCACCCTTACTTTTTTTCTTGAGTCTAGTGTTGTAGGTGACGTGTCCATCTAGTGCTGGGCTTGGACTCCTGCCTTTCAGAGGAGGTGCAGAAAGATGACTATGACAAGAGACTCTTTGTGGCATATTTTCCACATATAAGTGCCCCTCTTTCTTTCTGTGGACTCCTTACATTAAGGGCATTACTTTGTTTTCCTACCCGTGTGTCCCCAGTTATAGTTGTCACCTAAGGAAGACCAGGTGCTACCAACTGTATACTGGCCTTTGGTGTTTATCTTAGTAGTAATCAGGGACATGGACCATAGTTCACCGTGCCTGCTGCTCCCATGGCAATTAATCACGTGGTTGGTGGCTCCTGGGTCCCCTCCTGGTGAGTTCCACAGCCTCCAAGCTTAAAGCTCATCAGGGTTCTTTCCATCTTCTGTGATCAGCCTTCCTGTACCCTTCTTGTGCAACTCAGAGGTTTCCTGCACTGTGCAGTACACTCCCTGTGATGTCACACTCCCTGTGACATTCAGGGATTCTTCACAATTTATGGTCCACAAAACTACCCTTTGTTTTCAAGAAGAATCATGTTATACATTTTTTGAAGCCACATTTCCTATCATTTCTAGAGTTTGTTCCAGGAAGAGGAAACATTCTAAGGGTTTTGAATTACAACTTTTTGAAATCAACTTATTTTCAACTTACGGAATGCGGTTAGAAAGTACCTTTTTAAGAGTCCCCAAGGGCTCCCTATCTAGGCAGGCACACTGCCTGCTCCTGTATTGTCTTCTCCTCTAATGATCAAGTTGAAAAAAGGGATCTGTCACTGCACAGAGATGCTGCCAATCAACATGTAAAACTAGTAGTTTTGAGGAGCTCTTTCCCTGGCCACAACTTCCCAGGTGTTTGCAGTATCACACCTTGTACCACAGCTTTAGTATAGACTACTGCTTATGTTTAGTCACAGAATACACAGTCCAATGTGGTTGCATGTCACCAGTCTAAGGCCCCTAACAAACATTTGAAAACAAATTGTAGAATTACAGAGAAAAAAAGAACAATACATATGCATCAGTCCCGTGGCCAGTCACGGGTAAGCCACCTATTCCTCTTAGGTGAGCTTTCTCCTCTCTTCCTGTGTATTCAGTACAGACTGGCTAAGGAGGCCAAGAAGAACTGGGGTGGGCTGAGTAAATGTCTCTTATGGCTGAGCCTCAGTGTTACAGGCTGACCTTATCCAAGTGTTGAGAAAGGGCACTGGTGTGAGTTGGGGTGAGAAGAAATGCAGTGACTCTATTGTCTTGAGGGGAAATGTGGCAAACGTCAGGACCACCTCCCCTGCTCACTCTCTAGAATCCTTACAGTCTTAGTGAGGATTTCTTAATGTTTGTAATTGAGATTCTCCTGTGCACTTACTATTCCTGCTTATTGCTTTAGTTTTCCCCAGGGCGTTTACCACACTCCCGTAAATTACATGATTTATTCATTTCCTCAGTTCACTATCTGTGTCATTCTAATTCCCACTGAAATGTAAGATTGTAGAGGGCAGGAAATACACTTTTATTTATGTATTTATTTAGTTAGTTTTTGTGCTAGGGATTGTCCCCATAGCCTCTCTACCAACAGGATATATCTCTAGCCCAGTAAAATATTCGTTGAGCTAATCGATCAATCAGTGAGTGAATCAATATAAATCTTTGAGTACAGAACTTATATAAGATTCTGCTAAAGGGAAATTTGAGTGGGTCAAGTACCATGAATGCCATTTACTCTACTGTAGAATTCTCCTGTTTGAATCCAGAACCATTTAGAAGCCTATCTTAATGGATACCAATTGGAACTCAGGGTTATTCATCACTAAGAAAACCACATCTAAACTGGTTATCATTTGACTCATCATTTAATCTGGATTTCCAGTTTCTGATACTTGAAAGATGGAAGAAATGATCAAACTTTCCTGCTAAGGGTCCCTGGAACTTTAGTGAACTATGAGTTTATATCGCTTCCTCCAATCAAAGCAAAAACTTATTACAGATATTTGCAAGCATTATTTGTATCTACATATTTAAAACACATTCTAGCTAAAGTTAGGCCGCTCTAGGAAATCCAAGTGCAAAACTAGCATAATTTGTTTTTGGTTTTGTTTTTATTTTCCTCACTTTAGGGACCATGGACATTGAAGCATATTTTGAAAGAATTGGCTATAAGAACTCTAGGAACAAATTGGACTTGGAGACATTAACTGACATTCTTCAGCACCAGATCCGAGCTATCCCCTTTGAGAACCTTAATATTCACTGTGGGGAACCTATGGAGTTGGACTTAGAAACCATTTTTGATCAAGTTGTAAGGAGGAAGCGGGGTGGGTGGTGCCTCCAGGTCAATCATCTTCTTTACTGGGCTCTGACCACGATGGGTTTTCAGACCACTATGTTGGGAGGCTACGTTTACAATACTCCAGCCAACAAATACAGCAGTGGTATGATTCACCTTCTACTACAAGTGACCATCAGTGGCAAGAACTATATTGCTGATGCTGGGTTTGGACGCTCCTACCAGATGTGGCAGCCTCTGGAATTAATTTCTGGAAAGGATCAGCCTCAGGTGCCATGCATCTTCCGCTTGACAGAGGAAGAAGGCATCTGGTACCTGGACCAAATCAGAAGAGAGCAGCACATTCCAAACCAAGAATTTCTCAATTCTGACCTCCTAGAGATGAATAAACACCGAAAAATCTACTCCTTTACTCTTGAACCTCGAACAATTGAAGATTTTGAGTCTATGAATACATACCTTCAGACATCTCCAGCCTCTGTGTTTACAAGCAAATCATTTTGTTCCTTGCAGACCCCAGAAGGGGTTCACTGTTTAGTGGGCTTCACCCTCACCTATAGGAGATTCACCTATAAGGACGGTGTCGACCTGGTAGAGTTTAAGACTCTGAATGAGGAAGAAGTCGAAGAAGTATTGAAAACTATATTTCATATTTCTCTAGAGAGAAAACTAGTGCCCAAACATGGTGATCGATATTTTACTATTTAGGAGAAGCAGCAAGCATGGTCTTTAATAACACTTCCTTACACTTTTTACTATATAAAATTTCAAATCTATTCAAGATTATAGAGAATAACATAATAAACCTGCGTATTGATTTCTCAGATTACCAACAATGAACTGATGACCTATCATAACCTTTGAGCCCCACATTATTTTGAAGAAAACCCTACACATCATTTTATTTCACCCATAAAAATGTCATCATGTATAACTAAATGGCTTTTGTTTTCAGGAACATAACCACCCTCCTTTCAAAATTAATACTAATAAAAGCATTTTAATAATGATGTTGTTTTCTTAGAACCCAGCCCTACTTATGCTGGAAAATGTTTCAACACTGGTTTATTGTTGAAGTCACAGAAAATTTATACTGGTAGTAAAGAGAAGAGTGAAAAAATAATTGCCATTAAATTCAGCTAGCATGCATACATTACCCAATTTTTATAAAACATCAGATTTATGATTTGGGATTGGAATGTAACAGAGAAGGAAGAGCTATAATATTCATTTTGAATAGCCTACTAGTCCTTAAGATGAGACTTCACCCAATACACAGGAGTATATGACCATCAGTGGCAAGAACTATATTGCTGATGCTGGGTACCAACAGGGCCATTCAGCTAGTGATTTCTTCCAGGGGTCTTTATAGAGCTTCAGTTGTTGATATACTCCTTTTCTTAATATGGGAATACTGATATTTAGAATTTCCAACTTCTAGTATTAAATAATTTGTATTTAAAACATTTATTATGAATGATGAGTTACATATTTTCTAGACAAACCTTTTTAGTGAGGTAATGTTACAGCATCATTGGCTAAAATAATATGAATGAAAGGTTCCATTTGGAGGTGTTAGGATATTAGGGGGTGACATGGTTCTTCTGCAAGAGAGGCTTCCTCTCATCCTATTTCTTTATTTTCTAATTATATTCTTTTACCTCCTTCCACACTTTGCCTTAAAAGGAAAACACATGAGGTACTTTATGATATTTAAGTTCCAAAGGCTACGGACACCAGGCAAATTACTTTCAGAATTACTGGGTGATTCTGTGGCTGTGGTTCCTCAGAGGTAAAATAAGTATTGAACATACATGATACGGGGCCTAATCTAGGTCGATCTCTAAATAAATGTTTGTTATACGGATGACTGAATAATGTCAGTAGGTCATTAGTGTTTTGGGTGATAGGCGAGCATTTGATGGGAGTTCTTTTGCCATCTCATTTATGGTACTACACAATCAATCGTCCCTTCTGTCATTCATTGTTTCCCTCCAGTTGAATTCCTGGCCCTACTGTCATCTGCCTGTTTCATCTTTGATAACATTATTACCAGGATGTCAGATGCCCAGATTTTCTGTTTGTGGGTTGTTGTGTCAGGGCTATAGGTTAAAATACAGACTTTGTTCTTAAATTATTCTCCTTATTCAACTTGGGATCATCATAATAAAGTGAAGGGAGAAGCAGGAACTGGAGCGTTGGGGAAGAGGACAGGTCATGTGTGTTTTATGGAGCCTCGTAACAGCTGGGAGACACTGGTGAGGCGGACACCCAGGGAGAGGTGGACATGAGCCCTGGCCTGAGTGGGACCAGAGGATGAGAATTGTTTCAGTATATGAGTTTGCTACCTTCCTTCACCTATTGGCCTTGTTGGCTCTTTTGGCAATACCAGGGCACTTCTGGTACTCTTAAAGAAGTTCTCCTGATCCTTTGGCTAGAACTGTGTCGCTGGCAAGACTCAACCAAACAGATCAAATGAGGCTCCTAGACAATGATGCAGTTTGTAACAATGGGTTGAGGAAGTTGTTTTCTGTGAGTATCCTGAACAAATCCAATTATTTTTTGGTTTTTGGTACTAGTGATTTAACCCAGGGGCAATTTGCCACTGAGCTACATCCCCATCCCTCTTTTTGTTTAATTTTTTATTTTGAGACAGGTTCTCACCAAGTTGCTTAGGGTCTCACTAAATTGCTGAGTCTGGTCTCGAACTTGCAGTCCTCGTGCCTCATCCTCCCAAGTTGCTGAGATTATAAGCATGTGCCACCATGTCCTACTGCAGTTGTTTTTTTTTTTTCTTGAATATGTCTACCATGGAGGGGGAAAAGGCCAAAGTACACTGGAAGAGGCACAGAGACATAAAATCCATCATGTCACTCATCTTCATGGCCCTCACCTCATGATCTCATCTAACCCTAATTACCTTCTCCCAAACCCCACTTCCACATACCATTAATGTGCATTTGGGGATTAAGTTCCCAACACATGAACTTTCAGAGAACACATTAAAACCATAGCAGATTCTGGATAGTCAAAGTCATCTCAGCAAAATGAAAACACTGGAGGCATCTCCATATTTTGAAATACAATATGAAACTAAAGTAATAAAGATAGCATGCTACCACATGAAACCTGACACTAGACCAAAGAACCAGGAGAGAGAGCCCTGGATAGCACGCATTTATCTTAGCTGTTTTTGACAAAATCACCAAGAACTTAAAATAGGGACTGTCTCTTCACTACACGCTGTTGAAAAAAAAGGGATACCCACATGCAGAGAACAAAATGTACAGTTACCTCGTTCTGATTTTAGAATAAACTCCAAATAGATTAAAGACTTAAACATAATGCCTGAAACTGTAAGACTACTGGAAGGGACGTGGTAGGAATACTCTGTGACATTGTTCTGGGTGATCACGTCTTGAATAGGACCCCCAAATCAGGCAACAGAAGCAAAAATAGACAAATAGAGCTGCATCAAACTAAAAAGCTTCTGTACAGCAAGAGAAGCAATCAATAGTGCAAAGAGATGGTGCCCAGATTGGGAGACAATATTGGCAAATCATATATCAGAGAAGGGGTGAATATCCAAAATACCTAAGGAACTCAAACTCTTCAGTAACAATAAAACCGGTATTCCTATATAACAAGGACAAATGACCTGAACTGACATTTGTCAAAAGAAGACATGCAAATGACCAACCGATACACTTAAAAATTCTCCATAGTTCTAATATCAGAGAAACGCAAATTGAAACCACAATGAAATATTACTTCATATTTGTCAGGTTGGCTGTTATTACAAAAATTAAAAAAATAAGTGTTGACCACATATGGAAATAAAAGAACTGTTGAATATTATTGAATGTTTTATAAATTAGTATAGACACTTTGGGAAATGGTATGGAAGTGCCTCAAATGACTAAAAAATTGAATTATCACAGGATTCAGCAATCGTACTTCTGAGTATATATCCAAAGAAATTGAAATTTGTATGCTGTAGAGATGTCTGTGCGTCAACATTCGTTATAGCATTATTAACAAAAGCCAAAGCAGGGAAACAAAACCAAAGTTCCCATCAATGTACAAATGGATTTTTCAAACTTAGAATGTATTCATAATGGAAACTATTAATCCTTTGAAAAGCAGAAAATTCTGTCATTTGCAGCAACATAGATAAATCTAATGAACATTATACTAAATGAAGTAAGCTAGGCAGAGAGACAGATGTCTTATGATCTCACTTTACCTGTGCAATCTAAAAAAGTCAAACTGCGGAATAGAGAGTATGGTGGTGGTTACCATAGGCTAGGAGTGTGGATAGACAGGGAAAGAGGAGACATTGTCCAAAGTTTAAGTTAGACAAGAAAAATAAGCTCTGGAGATTTATTGCACAGCATGGTGGCTGCAGTTAATAATAATGTGTATTTCTAAATAGCTACGAGAGTATTTTAAGTGTTTTCACCAACAAGAAATGATGACTATTTGAGGTGATGGATATGTTAATTAGCTTAATTTTATCAATTCACAGTGTCTGCATATAATGAAACAACACAACTTACCCCATATATTTATGGGGTAGCTGGGAGTGGTAGTGCACACCTGTAATCACAGTGGCTTGGAGACTGAAGCAGGAGGATCGGGAGTTCAAAGCCAGCTTCAGCAACTTAGTGAGGCCCTAAGAAATTGAGCAAGACCTTGTCTTTAAATAAAATGTTGAAAAGGGCTGGGGATGTGGCTCAGTAGTTAAGTGCCCATGGGTTCAATCCCTGATACCAAAATACATCTCTCTCTCTCTCTCTCTCTCTCTCTCTCTCTCTCTCTCTCTCTCACACACACACACACACACACACATATTAT